ATGCAGGTTTAAGGTTCTTCTGCATTGGCTTCTTTTTTAAGACCTAGAGGTTATGTCTGTCTTTTATATACAGTCTATGGCTGCAACCCTGGTGATATTAACTGTCAGTGGCTTGGCTTTGGTTACAAAACTTCTAAATGCAGCTGCCATAATTACAACATCAGAAGTAGACCTGTTACAATAATTGAATAATGGCTTGATTGCTATTATTTGAGCTATTTTGCATGATCATGAGAACCATTTACTTTCACCTGTATACGGACAGCTGGATGAAACTAATTCCATGTATTTTTCCTCAATTTGACTCCCTCATCTGCTATATGATTCAATGGCACCAGCTGTTTTTCTTTTGTTTAGCTTCTAATAGTGCATTTCAATGAGCGTCTATTGAGAGCAGCATCATGGATTTCGTTGTGAAGCCTGACACCGCGGCCCCAGTGTGGGCACATTTTGGTTTTGGGCTAAACGGAAAAGCAGAGCTCAATAACTTGGAGGAGGCAATTTGTCTGATGTGTAGCAAAAAGGAGCATTCCACGCCACTAATACCAGTAATCTAAACCGAACACTAGCATAAAATGAACATCCATCCATCCATCCATCCATCCATTATCTGTACACCACTTAATCCTCATTAGGGTCGCGGAGGGGCTGGAGTCTATCCCAGCTGACTTAGGGTGAAGGCAGGGAACACCCTGGACAGGTCACCAGTCTATCACAGGGCCACACTTAGAGACAGACAACCAAGCACACTCACATTCACACCTACAGACAATTTAGAATCACCAATTAACCTCAACATGTTTTTGGACTGTGTGGGAGGAAGCTGGAGAACCCGGAGAGAACCCACGCTGCACGGGGAGAACATGCAAACTCCACGGCAAAAATGTGATCATTGTGACAGCTCAAGAAAGACGTTGAGGGACGACCTCGTTCTGATGGTGAGGCCATCTAGGACAGGTGTCAGAGCAGTGAACACTTAGTTACCTTGTGACTGTTTTGCTGCACTTGGTTGTAAATAATAAAGGTGACAGAGAAAACTGTGTGAAAATAACATAAAGAGGGCCAGAGAGAAAGGTTGGTTAGGATGGAGGGGTTTCCAGATGCTGCTAAATGATCCTATGAGCACTTTGGCTGAAGCACAGTGACGTCTTTGAAGCACCAAACAGCTTCAGAAACTCTCTCCCCAACATCTTTAAGCGTCAGAAATGGGTCCAACAATATCTGTAACTTTTCGAAGGAGAAAACCCGACATTCACACCCACTGCATGCTGTGATTGGCTCAGTGTGTTGAGGTTTAACTTCTCTCTGTAGCTTTCCTTTTTACGGTCACTTTCTTCTATGCTACCAGAGCGCAACACTGAATGACTTTCAGGGGAGACTGTCTGAAAATGCACACTCTTATCAGCATATTTAAATGATATCTTGCCCAGCTCTCTCTGTGATGGCGAGCCCACTTTCAAGTGTAGCCATTTGAAACGACTATAACATTTGCCAGGTCGTACTTATCTAACATAACCTGGCCTTTACTGCTACTCAAAGAGGCTCAACAGGGAGTCATGTTGCACCTCATGGAGCCTCACTTGTTTGCGAGCAGAGATCGTGTAAATTCTTGGTGTTACGAATTAAATCTCACTTAAACAAAATAAAAAATATCTTGAGAATTACAGTTTAGACAGGCAGGGGAATTCCAAATGTAAAACGTCACTTGGAGATGGATGGTGGGAAACAGCTGTACAATGGTTTGGTTCAAAGAAGTGAAACAGTCCCGAGGGTCAGATTTGGATTCGATATTAAACAGAAACATATTTTCCAAGAAGCAGTTTAGATTGAGAAATCCTGTCAGATGGGAAACATCAGAGTGACGTACATTTGGTTATTGTTTCCCCAAACCCTTTTTACATGTAGAACATCCTCAACCACCTCATTACCTGCAGCTCACAGCTACTGAGACGGACTACTTATTAAGCTTTCAACAACTTCTGTACAGATGGAAATATTGTTGAAAAAGTCAGATGCTGGTTGTATGCCACACCCAGAAACCAAAGCTCTTTTGTTTTTCCTTCAAGTTATCTGTGTAATCAATGTGAGCCATTTCTCTATTTGTCAGTTTACTTGTCTACGAAGAGCACATGGACTGTGCCAGACTAAAATTAGCTTGCTGTCTCCTTGCCACTGGAGAAAAGCTACACAATACACAGAGGAGCTGAACTGTGTCACACGCTTTTAATCAAGCCCCGACCAAATCTGATAAAACGCACAGAGACAACAGCTCCTTTTCATCGCACTCGAGCAAATAACTTTTCATCCGAGAGCCTTGAGTATGATATTAAATACCCCAGAGAAGCATCTGACATCAACAGGCCGAAACAAACACAAGAGCAAAAATGCAGCAACACAGTGTAAACATGGAATCAGCAACCCAAAGGTGGGCTTGATGAAAGGAAAAATAAAGTATGCTGAGAAAGAGGATTAAAAGTAATGAATCATTACAGACCATTTTTATAGGCTATTACTGTGGCTCAGTCAAACATTATTATAGAGGATGGAACGTCTGTATTCTCTCTTGTGCTTTTATGGCCACTTGTAAGAATGAAGTAAAACCGAAGTGAGGGCTGCTACCTAAACACTGATGATTTGAATCAAGTCAAACCTTATTTTTCTAATCAAATCACTACACTTTTGTTTTTTTTAGCTTCATCTTCATACACCTGAGAGATTTAAAACTAAGTGAAATTAACTGTAGCGTGATTGAAACCCAGGTCAGAGTGACCTGTTTCAGCTCTGATGCTCTCTGCTCTGGTGCTGATTGCAGAATGCAATAAAACAAAGGCACTTAAACTCTCATGGTCAGTTCATAGCTTTCCTTTCTGTGTCCGCAGACAGCTGCAGAACACTGGACTTGCAGGCGCTTCTATGCGTGCTATAATTGGGACGACAAGAAGATTTCCTTTGTTTACTGTATTTTGCTGAACAACAGGAAAAGTAAAAAAAAAAAAAAACAGCGTGTGCAACTACTTAACAAAACAGGGAGAAGGATGTGGAAAACAGTTTAAATGTCATGAGCACAAAAATTAGCACACAGTTTATTTCTTTAAAGGATGTGCAGTCGGTCTGCTGTTCAGACAGTCTGCAGTTTAAAAGTTTGTGCTGCATCTGGGCATTTGCAAAGAGTTTGGACTGAAACTTGTAAACATGGGCGTGGATGCAGAATTAGCTTCAAGACTTATTTTAGTGCACAGCGGTTGGTCTGAAGGTGTGCAGGACTGAACTGTTACTGGGTGGAGGCTGTGAAAAATACACCTCTTGTGACTATAAATACCTAAATATAAGAAATATTAAGAAACTCGTGCAAGTACAAAATAAAAGAAAGACATCCCATCCTGCACCCAATCAATGTAGCGAGTTTAATCGCTTAAAAACTTCTGACTACAAAATTAATTTTTTGTGTTTTCCTAAACATTGTCTCCTAGCTGAGCTACAGAGATGCACATTCATATAACAGCACAACTTTTTAAAACTTGATTTATCAGCTGAAACTGATAAAAGGCTTAAATAGACATTAGTTGAACTGCAGAAAGCTCTTCATAGGGATTGAGGATTGTGGATTAAACCCTTAAAGTCCCTCTCTGGTCAAAGATTAAACCTCTAAAAACTCATTATCGTGTATCTAAGATGCATATTTAGAAGTTTCACCCATGAAAATAACCCATCCTGCCTCAAAATGGCTTAAATGTAACTCTACACTGTTGCTGTTCCTCTAGAATTTGCAGACCTACGAGGTCACTGCCTCTCTCAATCCACCCCTCATTGCAGCTCAAGCACACCAGCTCACTCATGATCTTCTCAACCACCATAAAACTACTCAACGCTACACAATGGCAATTTCTAATATTGGAGTAATTCAGCTATAAAGTAATTCTGAAGAAGAGTAATGACACAGAGATCCTCAGCCTGGAAGTCTAAAAAAACGGTTTCTTAGGTTTGGTACGTAAGAAACCCTGGAAGTCTCAATCTACATTTTTCAGACTGTCATCAGTACGATGCAGCTTTAAGGCGGAGATGCTCATTCATGGCTTTGATTGCTTATTTCACTCAAGATATGTTTTCCAGCATATAAAAAACAACATATGTACATATTACAAGATAAAAAGCTTGATTTTCACAGGAGTCTTCAACAGTAGGTTAACACACAGATGGGATTATGAGAAATGATTACAGCACTGACAATTATTTTAACTGACAGAATGTTGCATTATGACAAATTTACAAAATATATGAACTTCTCTTAAACTCCAAATCATGAATACATTGCATTTTAGCAACATTTTCTGAAACGTGCTGCTTAACTAAGTCTATGAGGACGCTGTTGGTTTACTTTCATTAATCAGCCTTTTAAACTTTGCCACAGACAAGTAGTCCAGCACAGTAAACACCTAGCCTGTATGCTGCTTTGGTCTTTTAAATATTCTCTGACACCCTGTCTGAGAAGAAATACGGGAGCACATGCTTTATTTACTAAGCAGAGAACCAGTTAAGAGTTACTTTGTAACATGTAGGCGCACCGTGACAAATTTAAACCCACAAAACTCAACAACCCATCATCCTGCCTGCAGGGGTCATGACCCCGCCCCTCAATCCCGGGTCAAGGGGTCAAGTAAAACACAACATGATATCCTATTTCTGTTTATTCAGTCTGCAAAAGCAAAACACTGCAAACTTCCAAGCTTCAACTAGTACAAACTGCAGCACCAGGCATTTCACCAGAAACTGTTTTGCTGCTATTTACCAGCATGCAAAGCCAAGAAACCCTCCTCCTGGAGAAACTCCTCGACCCGGACACTCCCACTGACTGAGGTGTGCATGTGTCTGCCGAGCGGCTTCCAAACTGGGAAACACGAGTTTTTATTTTTGCGCCTTAATTGTCAGTCGGCTACAGTTTTCACGTGAAAGCTCACAAGCAACAAAAATGAGGTGAGAGATTAGAAAAAAACAAAACTTACTGCGTGCGCTCCTGAGATGAGGATTGCAGCGAAGACGCACAGAAGCAGCAACCTGTTGGTGAAAGTTGAAAAATGTTTGTAGGTTAGTCATCTGGCGATCATGTGCTGCGAAAACGTGCTTTTGTTGCGTTTACCTCAGACTCTTCTGTCCTCTGCTGTGTTGTCCGTGCATGGTGCCACTCATGCGGACGGCAAACTTGAGTCCCACACCGCTGATTCACTTGTAGAGACACTTCTACAGCATGACTGCCCGACCTGAAGCACACCAAGACTCTCTTTATTGACAATCTCTGCTCCATATATTGGTGCGTAAAGTTATTTGCGCGTAAAGATGCCACTTGTTTCCACTAGTTTTACTGAGGCAGATAACTTCAGATGCTGCTCCATGTGGGAACACTCTGAGTGGTAAAGATACTTTAATTACTCTGATTTTCTCGAGTATGTAATTAATTTGTCATCAGTTTAATGAAAAGAAATATACAACTTACCCTCACCCAAATCCTGTGCGCAATGGAAGGATGAAGGAAACGGATCTCGGATGAAGAGACGCGCTGGTTCCCGACCTGCAAAGTTTCACAACAGACACCTGTGGCACAAAAAAATCATAAAAATACTCCTAAAATAATCTAAAAGCACAAAAGTGCACCGAGTAGTCCCTCTCCTTACCGAGAAAAGTCAAAGTGTTTGTAAAAAGCAAGGTTGAGCCCGTTTGCATGGGCGAGGGTGGTCGTTTTTTGGGAGGGGGGTGTGGTGCAGCAGCAACAAGACCAAGTTGCATTGGACACAACCTCACATCGTCTCGGACAAAGATGCAGCCAAACGTGCTGCCCGTGCTCTGCCGATAAAACTTCAAATTACCTGAAGGAAAGAGGAGCAGAAACTCGACAGGTGGCTGTTTTCTGGACACTCTGCACAGCACGCAGGTTCCAGCGCGCACCGCCGCGATGCTGCTACAGTCCGGCACACTGTTGCTGCTGCTGGCGGCTCTCTACTCAACTATAGACCTGACAGAAGCTGAGGTACGTGAATCAAGACTCTCCAGCACTTTTTGGTTGATTTTACAGCTATACTTTGCACATTTTATTTGATTATGAACAACTTTTAACTGAGGATTAGACTTTTTCATGTGTATAAAGTCATGCGTCTTTACGCAGCTAACTCTGCCATATATTGGATGTGTTCTATTTATTATGAGTGTAAAACAAATATTAGTTATACCGTCGCCGAGTTGCACTTTCTTTTTGCCAGATATTTGTAATTTTTGAGTGTTCTGGGATTTTATCTGTAATGTCACACTTTTAGATCGAGCAGCTCTGAAAACTTTGAGTTGGGTCTTGTCCCAGTGCAGCCTCCTCCACTTCTGCTGGAGGGGAGCAGAGAGAGGGAGGAGGAGGGAGAGGGTGGGGCACATGTGCCTACAGTAGCTGAAGTGTGTGTGTGTGTGTGTGTGTGTGTGTGTGTGTGTGTGTGTGTGTGTGTATGTGTGGCTGCTGGAGAAAAAGGTATGAGGAGGTAATAGGGAACAGAGATATGCATGCAGTTAATCACTGGTATGTTCAGATAATCCAATAAAGATACAGTTTAATGCTCTTATGGCCCAGTTCCACAGTACAAGACAACCAGAGAAAATATAGACTGTCTCTGTCAGCCTGTGTTTCTGTTAGTGACTCTGGAATCCATGATGCAAAGTTGCACGTTACAAAGAATTATGTGTGAGCCATAAATCATCAGGAAGAGCTGCTAGATGTCATGACTGTAACTAAAGTCTGTAACTGTGCTCTCAGCTGATGTAAAAAATACTTCTAAATTCAAGTAGATTTTTCCATAAACACCTTTTTAAATTCTCCACCTATACCTTTAATTGAAGCGTAACTAAGCTACACTTTTAGATCCTAATTTATCTGTGTGAATGAAAGTCAGACATTTTTGTGCTAGGAGTCTCAATAAAATTGCGTTCTGTATTACTGGTAAACTTAATTTGTCAGTTTGCCATTCACAAACAGGGATGCACAGACTGATTCATGAACTTAAAATATGAGTCCCAGTCCCATACCAGTCATGTCTTTTTACCAAGTTTGGTCTCGGTGGAAGTCATTTCAATAATTTTATTATCGCTAACAACCAACACGACGAAATAAATGTTAACAAAGCACAACCTTTTAAAAACACATTGGCAACTAAGCTGACATTGACAGAGAAATAGTATTTTATGGGTATTGGCTCTAATCCCAGTTTTCCACAATGAACAAGTGCATTTATGTGCTAAATGTTTGCATCTCACTGTTGCATGACCAATTACTCCACTGGGGACACATAAAAACTGATTGACTGATCCCTACTCACAATGGTGGGTGTTTCTTATTCAGATTTTATTGCAGGCTGTTTGTATTGAGAAAGGAAAGCAAAGAAAGTCCAAGTCACAAATTTAATAAGGAACTTTTAACAGCTGTTTGACAAATTGGAGCTTCACAGCCTGACTTAGTGGTACATACCAATAAGAAGGCATTGGTAGTAGGAATTCAAACTGAGGTCACCAATCAATGTGTTTATTGACAGTGAAGGAGAAGATCTCGCTTGTGCTTTAAGTCTTCATTGAGAATTTCTTCGTTGTACGCTCACATATGTTGAGACCCAATAAAAAAAAAAGTCGTCTTCCTCCGAAAGCCTGGTGCATTAGTTTTAAGAATGGGTGTAGAAATATAAATGAGTGTGAGGAAGCTCTGGTGGACTTTATCAAGTGTAAAAACGAGGAGGAACGGGCTGTTACGCTGCACAATGGAGCAATGTGTGATGTGTCAGAGCAAATTACCACCTCTCAAGGGAGTCTGGCTTTATCATGCTATCATCCGGGTACATTTTTCAACTGTGATGGACTGTAGCTGTGAGCTGACGATGAGGATTCAGTGTCATAGAAGCGATTCAGGATACATGTCACAAATGCCATATAATGAAATACATGGCACCCACATGTTCAAATGTGTCAGAAAAAGTCTTGACTAACTTGTTTTTAAGCTTTACTTTGTCAGTTCAGTAAAGCCGACCCTGAGTTTCATACATTTGTCCATTACCCAGGCAGAAAACTAAGCAAAGTGGCTTTTATATTCATTTTCCCAGATCACAACACAATCATAATTCAGTTTATTATTCATTGTAAACTTCAATCCTTTGTTCAGATTGAGCTTTGGTTCAGGGAGCTGCGTAGGATAAAAGTTTATGATGTTGAGAGCCAACATATCAAATTAAGCAAAGCAGCAGAGGCAGCTTTTATCCACTGCAAGCTTGGATTTAGAAACACAAACATGAGACAGAACATCTGGACAGAGGAGAGGATGGCTGAGGAGGTGTATATCTGGCTGAACATCTTGTCACTGGTCAGATGACACCAATGAAACTGGAGTAATTCAACATTCCGCATTTATTGTTGGGATTTTTCCCATCATCCGCCCATAGGAGGTCCACAACAGGAAGTTTGTGATCCTTTCAGGGCTTTTCATCCGTCCAAAGCTGAATGGTGAACACAAAGGGGCTTACCTCATCTGTTGTTCAGGACAATGAGGCAGATAATATAGATTTAAATGAGGTCACAAGCAAATTCTTAAATTAACGCTCTTGCAAAAATTTAATTCAGGTGAAATAAATCAGCTTAAATCAGTGACTTGGCTGATGTGCACAAGGGGATTCAGAGTGTTTATCGCTTCTTTGTCTGCACGTACACAGAGATGCGACATTGATGGAGAATTGGAGCCCCATGTTTAGGCTTGTTCACAATCAGTAAGAACTCCTGACTAAACTTAGAACACAGAGTGTAAACAATTCATGGTCAACTACAAATGCATCCAAGCACTCGCTAATGGGATAACCCTGACCTAGAGCAGGTCAGGCTGACTTTAGCAAGCTGTAATTAAAAGACAAGATTTAAGATCGCTTTGGCCTTTCCCTCTTGCCCGTAAAGATGAAGCAAAGAGCTAATATTTAGCTCTATTTAGACCTTTGTTCCCATTTTTTCCCCCCTGCGTCATGTGAGTCTGAGTGAATTTCTCAGCTGTTTATTTAATACCAACAGAATAGAGTGTCTCTCCCTTGGCGGTCATTTAATCTGGCCAGAATGAGTCATCAGTAATTCCTAAAGGGGCATTATGAGGAAGGGAAAGAGGGGCAGATTAGCTGATTCCTGGAGTGGGTTTGTGTGTGGGATGGTAGATGGAGGGATTGGGGAAAAAAGGCAAGTAGCTGGTGGGAAAGACGAGCTCCTCTGTGCTGCCTGGTTTCTGCTGCCGGTGTGGTTGTGACGTTCCAGGACAGCAGGGTGATTCCCAACGAGGATCAGCTCAGCTCCAAAGTGAATGGAGGAAGCAACGCTAAGAGCTGCTAATCCTCGTGCAGCCTAAGAGATGTTTTGTCTGTCGAAAGCGGAGAGTCACGATGAGGACTTGATCCGTCGGTGCTGCTGCCCAAAGTGCCGACAAGGCTGCTTGTAGTTTTGTCTAGGTCTTATCCTGTAGACCCAACGCCCCCCACAGAGGCAGCAGCTGACTCTGTCACTGCGACTGACCACCAACCAAGCGATGCACCCTGGGAAGATGCAACCTGCCTGACCCCTGTCCTTACACCCTGTAAAAATGCCTACATTGGAAGAGCTGTGATCGCGTTTGTGTCCCCTTATTTTGACAGGCGTGTCTGGGTAAGGCCGGTAATTCTGCCCTGACCTTGTTACTCAAGAAGTGTGGCAGGTATGCCCCATTTTTTCTGCTTGTGTTTCTCTGTGTGTGTTCCATGTCTGTGCCAAGTGAGGAGGGGATTAAATAAGTTGGCTAAGCATGGTAAAGCCCTTTTCAATTCCACGTGGTCCAAGTATCATCGAGGAGGCATTTCATTCAGATTTGTTACAGCTGCAGGTTACTTTTAGCACGCAAAGCACCTCTTTTGTCCCATGCCAATGTTTTCCGCACTTTAGCTACCTCAAGATCAACTTGTATGTCATCCTTGAGATTGGTTTTGCTTCCCAGAGGTGCATTGCTATTGTGAAAGTGTAATTTAGCCATTTTACGTGTGAAATCGGTGAGTCATAAATGTCATTTGTGGTTTGGAGGCGAATGGTGTAATGGATATGTCCGCCTGACAGGGAGGTGGGAAGTGGAGAGTGATGGAGGCGGAGGAGGAGGTGACGAGGTTATGAGCCCCAGAAATGGAAGAATGTGTGTCGGAGCCAGAGATGATACTCCGTAGCAAATCTTTTAGCTTCACTTTCTAGTCATTGACCTGAACTCCCCCCCTCTGCTGCCACTTGTCCAACAGATAAAGTGTAAGACAGTGATGATGGTATCATTAGATTTACGGGTTTCTGTTTTTTGTGTCAGTCTTAAGATGTTTTGGCTGTCTCCTCCCTCAGCTGTTCTTTTTGTCACTTTTTAGACAGGAAAGCTTCTGTCTTGCTGTAGATACAAAGGACAGATGCAAGACTAAAGGGCAGTGTTCAGGCCAGGTTTCTGTAAAATGCAAGCGCTTGAATACTTTATTATAACTGTCCAGGCAGCATAGACAATAATTAGGTCTGCAGTCACGCTATGATTGTGGTACCTCTCCAGAAAAGTGCAACTTGGATGTGTATGACTTCATAGATATAATCTACAAAATTACTGGATAACA